AATAAAAAAAAAAAAAAAAAAAAAAAAACCATTGACGTATTCTATTGACAGTCTAAAGTTATATAATTAAACAATTGGTTCAGATTCATTATTAAATAAGTAAAGCATCATCTCTCAATTATCTTATAACATCTTGCGTCGAAGTGATAAAAATTTTACGTCTTCGTTTCGAAGAAAAATTCATATCACGCGATATCTTTGATGAAATCTCGCTTCTACTCTACTCGAAGGGGCGGAAGAATTTCAAATCGCGTGCCGTGTATAAATTTACTGTTATCTTTTCACGAGGAAGAGGAGCGAGCCACCGTGTCGTTAAATATTTTCCCATCCACTCGCGAGTAAATTCCCACGCTTCTCGTGGACCTGGAGCACCATCTCGAGCGCAATTCTCGCCTCTTAATTCAACCTTGTAACCGCGATAATCCCGGATCCGTGCATCGTGATTCGACTTCGGATCGGTGTAAAAAAAACTCTGGAAAATTCGCTCGTTACCGGGGAAAAACTTGCTTGTCACGACGCGAGCCGATCCTGCTCTTATTTCGCGCGATACTAGGTCAAAGAAGAAACTAGACGGGTCAGAGAGGAGAAGAATGGCGAGAAGAACACTGAAAGTCGGCGCGATATGAAAGTATCTGTCTAGCCGGAGGCTATCTCATTTGCTATTTATCTCGTTTCTCTTTCTCCTTTATGCGCCTCCACTTTTCCTCCCCTTCTTTCTCTCTCTCTCTTTATTCTTCTATATATATGTGAATAATATGTTATATCGTCCGAGTTTCTTTTTTTAAGATACATCATTAGTTGTGCTTATCGATCAATATTTTTTTCCACGAAAAAAGAAATAAAATTTGTTTAACGCGTTTATCTTTAAATATTTGAATGTTAAATCACCTTCGACTATAATATAAATTCATCCGGATAGATTAGTGTGGAGAATTTTTCTTTTCTTTTTTTTTTTAACGAAGAATGATTATTATTCCTCGATTATCAAATGTATTTATCTAAAATATATTTCTATGTACGGAACGAAGATAGTACCGATAGCGTAAAGTTTGAAATCAAGTTTGAATCAATCTAAAATG